AGCAAGCATCTCGGAGTTGGAATATTCGTTTTGATGAAGTAGTCAAGGCGTTGTGCTTTGTCAAAAACGAAGAAGAGCCTTGTTTATATTAGTGGGAGTGCACTGGTGTTTCTAATCCTATATGTAGATGACATATTATTGATTGGGAATGATATTTCTATGCTTGAATCCGTTAAGACATCGTTGAAAAATAGTTTTTCAATGAAGGACTTAGGGAAAGCAGCATATATTCTGGGCATAAGGATCTATAGAGATAGATCAAAGAGGCTAATTGGATTAAGCCAAAGTACATACATTGACAAGGTGTTAAAGAGGTTCAACATGCAAGGTTTCTTACCGATGTCACATGGCATTAATCTTCGCAATAATCAGTGTGCTCAAATGACTGATGAGCGAAACAAGATGAGTGTGATTCCATATGCTTCGGCAATTGGATCCATCATGTATGCCATGTAATGTACATGTCCAGATGTTTCATATGCACTTAGTGCAACAAGCCGATACCAATCAGATCCAGGTGAGTCACTGGATAGCTGTAAAGAATATCCTGAAGTACTTGAGAAGAACTAAGGATATGTTCCTAGTTTATGGAGGACAGGAAGAGCTCGTTGTAAATGGTTACACTGACGCAAGCTTCCAAACCGACAAAGATGATTTTAGATCACAATCTGGATTTGTGTTCTGCCTGAATGGAGGCGCTGTGAGTTGGAAGAGTTCCAAGCAAAATACAGTCGCTGATTCTACAACAGAAGCCGAATACATTGCCGCTTCTGAAGCAGCAAAGGAGGTTGTTTGGATAAAGAAATTTGTTTCTCAACTAGGTGTGATGACTAGTACTTCTAGACCTATGGACCTCTATTGTGATAATAGTGGTGCCATTGCGCAAGCCAAGGAGCCTAGATCGCATCAAAAGTCCAAACACATTTTACGGCGGTATCACCTCATTCGCGAGATAGTGGGTAGAGGAGATGTGAAGATATGCAAAATACATACGGATTTGAATGTTGCAGATCCGTTGACAAAGCCACTCCCTCAGCCTAAGCATGAGGCACACACTAGGGCAATGGGTATAAGATACGTTCATGATTGACTCTAGTGCAAGTGGGAGACTGTTAGTGATATGCCCTAGAGGCAATCACAGAGATGATTGTATCACATACTATGTTTACATATTTATCTGACTTTGTTCCTTGAAATAGATAACTCATTATTGGTTAATGATTATGTGATTCTTTCATGAGACTCTTTATGTTGTGTGTTGCTATTTCTAAAGGATCCCTGATCAAATATCATATGTGGAACAAATATGTGTAGATGATCAGCACATGTATTAATTGATGATCATGTCTCATTGGTCATGGTATAGAGATACCAGATTAATAATGTAGACACATGTTAGTGAACATGTTGTTGGATAGATCCAACATGAGACACTGCAAGAGTCATATGTGTTGTGCCATCAGTGATCTCATTTAGTGTTGGTGTTGAATCCTTAGACCTGAGAATATCATGGTTCCCAACATGTGTATTAGCTTACTTAGGGACTGCTAAACGCTACTCCATAATTGGGTAGTTATAAAAGTAATTTTCGGGTATGCTATGAAACATGTAGTGGGATATGAATAATCAAAATGGGATTTGCCCCTCCTATGGAGAGATATCTCTGGACCCCTCGATGTTGTAGATTATGGAAGTGCATGGCCATGCCAAAGGTGATTGAAGAGTCAATCACAAGTTATATAATCTATCAACAGGTTCGAGTGAATGATTGAGCTATTAGAGGATAGCACATATCTAGCCTTGAGCTTAATCGATATCGTGAGGCAAAGGGGTTCATACAAGTATATACTAGAGGTTCAGCCGATATGATCTTTATGTATGCTCGGTGGGTCAATACGTTCTGCTAGGGGCCACTGTTGACGCGTGGACTGAAAAGTAGTTTTCGGGTTACAACCGAGTGTACATGAACCTACAGGGTCACACGCTTAATGGGCCGGAATAAGGGGATTGGATGGAGATCCAATATGAGCTTAATTCGGATAGGGATCCGAATAGGAGTCCTACGGGTCTTGGAGGCCCGAGTGATGGATCCTATATTTTCGTGAGGGGTGTGACCGGCGGAGGTATTGCATCACGTGAGAAACCCTAGCCGTCACTCCCCTCCCCAAGTAAAACCCTAGCCGCGCGCGGGTGCTAGCACATCTGCGCGTGACATTCCGTCACTGTACGTGTGGATACCGGTAGAGGCTAGCGGCGGATCTAGGATTTAGTATATGGGTGGTTCGACCCAAATTTTTTTCAACACAATAAATCTAAGTATCTAACTATGCTAATATACAATGTAAATATATATAATATAATAAACCAAAAGTATACCATGATATATTAATAAAGCATCTTAAAACATATAAAATTAGTAATTAAATAAATTTTGATTTAAATAAGGTTATGTCTATAAGAGTTTTAAGAAGGTTACCATACTTCTGCCACAACTGGGGAAGAAGGAAATTTAGAAGCACTCTTTTGTTGCGTGTTTTTGAAAAATAGATGCAATATCTTCATCTTTCTTTATGTTTCAACAATCAGCAATCTACAATACAATATAATAATTTAATATCATAATACACAAGAGTTAAAAATTTTAAAACTGATAATTGAAAAAGATACACAACTAAGAAACCTAGAATTGTCGCACTCTAGCACAACACATGCGTGACACGTGAGGCGGTAGGTTGCTGGCTGCCTGCCTGGTGCGGCCGGCAGGGCGTCGGGCACTCTCCTCGTCAATGACAAGTCGGCAGTCGGCGCCACAGCAGGTCAACAGCTCCGTTTTCCTGATTTCCTTGCGGGCTCGTGGCGGCGGCGCACGGCGGCGGATTGGCGAGTGGCGCTGGTTACCTGCTGGCAACGGCGTGGGCGCTCGCGCACGCGCGCATGGGCGGGCGTGCTGCGCAGTGGCGGCGCGCTGTTGGCGGACGGCGGAGAGGAGTATCGCGTGATTTTGGTGAAGCGATACCATGCCGCGTGCGAGAAACGAGGAGTCGACGATGAGTGGTGCGCGAGTTGGAGATTAGTCGCGACTCCTCCCTTTCCAAAATTCCAGGACTCATGCGCTGCGATCGCGATCAGTTTTGTTTTCCTAAATTCTGGTATGCAGTGAGGTTGGTCGCTAATTTTCTGGGTGGTCCGGGTGGTCCCAGACCACCCTACAGATTCGCCGTTGGTAGAGGCGCCGCTGGTTTGCGGTGCTGGTCGGCGTAGGAATACGGCGAGGAGAACGCACGAGGAGGAGAAGGTCGAGCAGGTGCGATCGACTACTTTCTCTACATCTACACGCGCTACTTCGCGAGAATTCCTTCGACTTCTTAGCGCCTTCTTCCGCTGCGCAGTGCGTCGAGTGGTAACGATCTATAATCTAATACTTGCATGGTTCCTGGTTTACGCGATAGAAAATTTTGATTTATACTATCGTAGCCTACGCGTATCCCAACATCACCCACGTAATCATGTATTACTAACTGGAGTTACAGTTAAAGTAGCATCATTATTTCGTAAATTTGTCCCTGTAATGTTAGCCTAAGTGGATTGACACCTCCCTCCCGTCTCCTATCTATGTAAAATGTAAGCTAAAAAGATTAATTGCAGAATGGAATGTAGATTGATGCATAGTCATTGGAAAAAAAATATTCCCCAAGAGGATACAAACTTGCAATTGCAATTTGCAAACCAACATCCCATTTTGAATTACTGTAAAACATTTCCCTTATATTACTATAATGTGGCTGTAAGATCTGCAGCCGCAGCCGCATATCAGCCTTCCGAACGGCGTTATTTCTGAGAACATCCATGTTTTCTTTTGCATTTGTTACGTCTTAGAGTTTCATGTAACAGGCCTTATTTCTGAGAACACCCATGTTTTCTTTTGCATTTGTTACGTCTTAGAGTTTCATGTAACAACCAGAGTAGGTAACTTCACAAATATCATCTCTTAATCTCTTTAATTTTGTGTTCTTTCAGAGTCAGGATGGGATAGGCATGCCAGCAGTCAGAGGCCAAACCATTCTAACAACCAGTTAGCCCCTTTCATGGGTTAGAAAGTTGTGGCAGCAGGTGATGCCAACATGAACCTGTGACATGGACAGTGCACCTGCCTAGTGACACCGTTGACGGACCACAAGTCTCCACTAACAAATGTTCTACCGAAAAACCAGATTAAAAGTAAAAATGATAGTGATTGAAGTAAATAGGCAGCTACCGTTTCTAGAAAAATATAAACGTTTATAGGTTTGTAGTAGAGATTAAGATTAAAGAGAAAATACTTTCATGTCCCAGATGGGTTGGAGGTAAGATGAAATACATATTGAAGGGAGTAATTGATGGAACAAAAATAATACTCTGAATGGTGTTATAAGTCCTTATATTTTGAAACAGAGAAAGTAGTATGAAAATAAAAATGTTGGATTTCAGTAATCTTTTGCCGGATGATCAGACATCATCAATACACCTATCAGGTAGCACATGCCTTGACTAACAATTTGACCAGCCTGTCATTTGGAAGTTTCAAATGTCACCATTTTCCAGTGACTAATATGTGGTTGAGGAAGCTTATAAAAGTAGCAACGAAAATGGCTGGTGAGACCTTGACACAAATTTAGGGCAGTCTCGCTAGCTGCAATGGATGAACGAAATGACGATATTATTTTCTGGCAATTCTTGATGGGTAGAACTTTTGGAGGAATATTATCAGAATGATGAGAAAAATAGGGGAAAAAAAATCCATAAGCCCCTCTACTCTTTCCATACTCTAAATCTTAAGGTGAATGTTCCATCCAACTACAATGACATCTGCTCTTCAGTTACCTTGGCTTCAAGCCTCCATATCGCGGTAAAAGTGAAGAAATAGAGTTAAGGAATTAACAGTATTACATCCATTTTAAAAGTATTAACTAAATTCTATATCTATTCATCATGAAACAATTGATTAAACAGGATTCAATAACAAATAAACAGGATGCAATAACAAATGAAAATGGTAGTATCTCTTCGGTACACTGCAATAAACATTACCTGTCCACTGCTATTATTATAGCTCCATAAGCCTTCTACTCGCCTGAACAGGGTTTTATACACATCTGGCTACCAAATTCACATTTTCTGTGGTACATGTACAAGAAAATAAACTTTAAATAATACAGTAACTTGTGCATACACCAGAGTCATGTCCTTATTTTTCATCATAACAACGTACACAGTTTCAAAGATTAAGGAAATACAAGTTTAAAAGTTACCTTCATAAGTCAAAGGATCTTCATATGCCCTGACTTTACCCAAACATCAGACTATGCATCTGAAGTATCGTTCTCATAGGACATTCTATTCATCCAAATTATGACACATGTACGCTCCATATTTTGAAAAATACGTAGCCTGGAAAGATAAGCTTTCTTAAGTCCAAAACTGAGTACATTGGATTGGACCATCTAAAAGGAAATCCAAGGCCTTAAACCATCCAAGTGACATGTATTTGTTGGCATGTGCAATTTGCACAATTGCACTAGCAGTCCTGGACCAGTGCTGTTAATCATGACAACAACTCCTGGGATTTTTCGAGTGATAAGAGTATAAAGCATGGCCATTGTCTTGGTCACCAAAGCAAAACCTTCATGCTCATCGATATTACTCTTATCGCCAAACAGTCCCACAAATCAAGCATCACATTAAATTTCGTAGCACTGAAGAGTGAAAACTTCAGGTGTGTGGAGATGAGCCTCTTCGATGGATTACTTCCTCTGCTACTAATTGTGTTTACTATGACCCCTGTGATACAAGCTTCAAACAGAACTACAAGCCTTCCATCTGCTGCCACGCTTGCAGGTTGCCAAAGAAGCTGCAGTAATCTGACCATCGACTATCCCTTTGGAATTGGATCATCCCATTGCTCTAGGCAGCCCGATTTCGAGCTCATCTGCAACAATACCACACAACCACCAAGGCTGTTATTCAAGAATGGCACCACTGAGATCATTGACTCTCCCAGTACTGGTAAGATATACAACCAACTATAAATCGGATTTCAGATATACAACCAACTATAAATCGGATTTCAATTTGAATTGATGTTACCAGTTGAGCTGTGGGGATTTTAGGTTGAAATTTTAATATTCAACTAAAAATATTAAGTTGAATGGTGATATTTTGGACCAAAGAGGGGGCAAGGCGCTGCCTTTGTTGGCAGAGAGGGCAAGAAATAACAAATCCCATACTTTTCTAGGTATAAAAAGCCGTTAAAATATAAACTCCTTCATGTAAGAGCTCCCCTTTTGTGCCTAGATTATTTGCTGGGGAATTACCTTCTAGTTATTGAGGGCGTTATTAAAGGCTTTGTTTTAGACTAATGAAAATGCAATCTAACAACCACTCTAAAGTAAAAGCTCTGTCCTTTTGGTTTACCTCCTCTTTTAGTTATGCCTAACAGCACTCATCAATTATTAATATCTGTAACTTCCTCTCAATTATTTTTATTTTTCTCTCCCAGAATATTTGGACGTTATGTTTTCCCATTCCATCTCCATGAAATCCAATGTCAGTGTGTACAACATGTCATGGGATGCTCCTGGGAAATCTTTCACCCTTGGATATGCTAGACTAAACATCACCGGCTGTGATTTCGATATATACCAGGTGCTCGATCAAAGTGGAAATGTTCCTGCCAAGCTTTGCAACGTTACATGCCCAAACAGGGGAATCACAGAGGACATTGCTAGGCAGGACTGCAATGGCACCGGATGCTGCTCCATCGATGTTCCAATTCGTGCTCAGACCTTACAGCTTATGTTTGTCCGCCATGGCAAAGGGGCGGTCGAACTTGACGCACAATCCAACCAAAGCTCCCTGTGGAGCACAATCAATGTAACAACAGTTTACGCTGTCATTTTGTGGAGAATCCTGGACCAACCGACGTGTGCCAGCACCTTCGATAACAGGACCAACTATGCCTGTATTAGTGAGCACAGCAAATGCATGGATGGCTATTTCGCACCGATTCTTGGTTACAATTGCTTATGTGATGGTGGGTACCAAGGAAATCCATATATACTAGATGGCTGCTCACGTGATAGAGGTAATTAATTTAATCTGCTCAAATAATTATACACCATGAACCTCGATATGGCCTTTTCTGTTTATACATAAGATGAAATTACGATGGTAGGTCAGGAAATTTCTCAGTCACATGCAGGTTCATGGGGTTAAATAATTATACTCTGCAAAATTGCAAGCAGGTTGACTTCATTATACTTTTTGATAGAATGACAGGGGGAACATATGTGATATTGTAGAATGGTGAAGCAGAGATAGCCTCAACACAATAATTCTATTGAAAGATATAGTAACATATAGGCCGGGACCTTCCTTATCCTTTAACCGACTTATAGAAACATAATCGAGGGATTAGGTAGAAAACCCAACCGGGTACATATGGAAGGAAATAACGATTCTAACAGATATCCCTAGAACAAAAAAAATATGCCGTCAATTTCGTTTTATAAAAAGAACAATTTTGCTTTATCCTAAGCCATTTTATCTTTGAGTCAAATTTTCCAATATTTTCTCATTCAACTCATTTCATTTGATTGCACTATTATGCATATGAACAACACTTAGCTTGTATCAAGAATAGCTAGAGTTAGTTCAGCCATATTAGCGCAACCATAATAGTACTTATCCAACAGCTAAAATCATTAAGGGAAGAAACAATATTTGTTATTAGATGATAGTACTATGAGTCTATGAGGCCAAGCTTGTCCACTCATGGGTACCCGTACCCATTGACACACTCCTTCCAAATCCAACTATAAGTTAGCCAAATAAACTAGTGTGGGTCGGCCAACATGCTTCTCCGGCTAAACATACTTAACTGACCCCCCCCCCCCCGGTTCAATTAGCTGCTGACCAAGTTACCACATGAACGAGATCCAAATTTACAGTAGGATTAGTTCAATATATATTAATTGTCTGTACACCATATAAACCAAGAGAGTCTTAGGCTAATCCTTTTGGGAGAAGCAAATTAAGAGAAAATCCTAAAAACGCATGGATTACCCCCCACCCCCCCCCCACCCCGTGGCACAAAATTTGGAGAATGGCGGCCAGTTTTTCAGCACATCTCCTTCAGACAGTTGAATGCTATACAAATTCTCTAAACAACCGTTACTTGTGAAACTGTTAATTTCATTTCACAAAACAGGATATAATCCATTCCAACAGAAGGATGTCTGCGACAGAAAGTGCGGGAGCATTGATGTCCCATATCCATTTGGCCTAGAAGAAGGGTGCGCTGCAAGGAAATCATTTCAGCTAAACTGCACAAACATGTTATCGTCCAGCCTCCAACTGAACGATGAATACCATGTAACGTATATAAATGTCAGCAATGGGCTCATGGGCGTAGAAGACACCACAGATTACAAACAGTACATGTATGGGATGCGTGTGACGCAGGAGCCTCAACTCTATATCGGATCTGGGGAATCAGCCTCAGTGCAATGGGCTGTTGCTAATCTAACCTGCCTAGAGGCACAGCAAAATATATCTGGATATGCTTGTGTTAGCATCAATAGCACATGCTTGGGTGTCAACTCAACAGATGATTACATTGGGTATCGGTGTAGTTGCACACTTGGCTTCCAAGGAAATCCATATATCCAAGATGGTTGCCAAGGTTATAATCTCTGCCCTTCTCCCTCTCCCTTCCGATCTCGCTCTTTCTCTGATCTTACTAAGTGATGTTGCAGATATTAATGAATGTTTGGTGCCAAACAAATGTAAAGGAGTATGCTACAATACTCCTGGAAGTTACCGTTGCACTGCTTGCCCTGATAAAACACAGTATGATATGACAACAATGCAGTGCACCCGGACAAGAAGACAAAGTCTTATGTTAGGTGAGGTCCAGAGTCCTATACACTCTTGATCTTATAATGAACATGACAACATACTAACGAGCATATAAACTATTACAGGTGTTGTCATTGGACTTAGCTGTGGCTTCAGCATCCTACTTCTCAGCTTAGGAATAATGCTTCTCATTCATAGATGGAAAAAAGACATACAAAAGCAACTACGAAGGAAGCATTTCCAAAAGAACCAAGGACTTCTGCTGGAACAACTAATATCTTCGGATGAAAATGCAAGTGAGAACACAAAGATATTCTCTTTAGATGAGCTAGAGAAGGCAACAAACAACTTTGATCCTACACGTATTCTTGGTCATGGAGGGCATGGCATGGTGTACAAAGGCATTCTATCTGACCAACGTGTGGTTGCAATAAAAAGGTCTAAGCACATTGAGGAAGGAGAGATCAGTCAATTCATTAATGAGGTAGCAATTCTGTCTCAAATAAATCATCGAAATATAGTGAAATTATTTGGATGTTGTCTTGAAACCGAGGTCCCATTATTGGTATATGACTTTATTCCCAATGGTTCATTATTTGGTATTCTCCATTCTGGTTCAAACAATGGTTTCTCCTTGTCATGGGATGACTGCCTAAGAATTGCAGTGGAAGCTGCAGGAGCTCTCTATTATCTCCATTCGGCAGCTTCAGTATCAGTGTTCCATCGTGATGTGAAATCCTCTAATATACTTCTAGATGCAAACTACACCGCTAAAGTATCAGACTTTGGTGCTTCGAGATTGGTTCCCATTGACCAAACTCATGTTGTCACAAATGTACAAGGCACATTTGGTTACTTAGATCCAGAGTATTATCATACCGGGCAGCTGAATGAGAAGAGTGATGTATATAGTTTTGGTGTGGTACTTGTGGAACTACTACTCAGAAAAGAGCCTATTTTTACAAGGGTGTCAGGATCAAAGCAGAATTTGTCCAATTACTTTCTCTGGGAACTGAAGGTGAAGCCAATCACGGAGATTGTTGCTGCTCAAGTTCGTGAGGAAGCTACTGACGAAGAGATAGAGAGTGTCGCTTCTCTTGCACAGATGTGCTTGAGGCTCCGAAGTGAAGATAGACCTACTATGAAGCAAGTTGAAATGAATTTACAGTTCTTGCGAACAAAAAGGTTGAACTCATGCCCTGATGCTCTAGACAAAGCTGAAGAGATGCAGCCTTTGCTATGTACAAGATCTGAAGCTAGTTGTGCATCATTGGCGATTAACTTGGGTGACAGTTATAACCCTGAGTCTCAAAGTAGCCACAAATGCTATAGCTTGGAGCAAGAGTTTAGTTCATCAGTTGGGTTGCCACGGTAAGTTGCTCAGAGCCATGCTATAATATGAAATTCAATTGAGCTGTGGAGGAAAATGATTGGATGTTTTCAGATCTAGACAGGTCTGAAATGTATCAACTCCTCAATGTGGTCTACCATTTTATTAATTATTATCCCAAATAATGTACAATTCCTTTTATATCTCTTAGGTACCAAGTATCATGTATGCTAGAGCACTTGTTTATAAACAACAGGATTAGTCTGATGCGCTATTATGCTGATACTGTGATTGCTCATAACATGCGTACACTTCTTTGTTATGAGAAGCACATACTTCCAATGTGGGTGTTTCAAAAGTTTAGTCCCATGTATAAAATATATGATGAATATATCTAGGTGAGAAATGGTTGGAAAATACTACAAGGAAATGCTATATATTTTCAACATTGCTCAACCAGTTCTACATACTTTGTATATATATGTATGGGTTCCATCAAGTCATGAAACTTTGTATATATATGTTTCAAAACGACAAAAAATCGCAGACAATTAGTGGAAAGAAAGAACTATGCTTTGTATCTAAAGTTATAGGACCACGGCTAGGCTACAATGCTACTTGTATAACGAGGCAATGAGTACTCTCCGTGCGATTATTTCTGGGTGACGTGTGAGTTGAACGACTTAATATATGCCACACAAATAGTTAAAATATACTCCCTCCGTTTCATATTATTATTAAAATATACTCCCTCCTAGTTAAGTTTGACCAGGTTTATAAAAAAAATAACAACATCTAAAATATCAAACTAGTTTCATAAAATCTAACATTGAATATATTTTAATAATATGTTTGTTTTTTTTCAAATACTAATATATTTTTCTATAAATTTGATCAACCTTGACTTACAAAAGGTCAAATGACTTATAGTATGAAATGAGGGAGTAATAGCTAAAACAATCAACGAAGATCTCCATACCTGGAATTGAACATGCAAGTCGAAGGCCATAAGGAAGATAGTGGCAGCAACCATTCGTCCTCAATTACCCAAACGCTGCATATGCGACCACACATGAGCAAATTAATCAGGAAAATCGCAGGGAATTAATGGAGGAGGACAACCAAAAAAAAAGCATTTCCCCACCAAGAACGGATTGGGGAATCGAAGATGGAAACACTTACACAATACCTATTCACTCCCATCACGAGCAGCCGAGAGAGCATATTGGATTTGGATCAAGGCAGGGGCGTCCGCCTACCGGATTCGGGGAGGGAAGAAGTGCGAAGGAAGAGGCCGGCGAGGAATGCAGTCCGGTCCGGCGGTCTCGTGGCGCGGACGGCGGCGACGGATGGTCTCGTGGCGGGCGGAGCTCGGTGAGGTGGGGCGGCGCCGCCGGCCACGGGAAGGAGGGAGAAGGGCATGGGTGGGCCGGAAGGAGAGAGAGATGGGCCAGGAGGGACCAGATGGGCAAGGATGGTGGCCCAGATAAATATAACAACTTTGATATGTTGGTTTGGAATTTCTTGTGTGAGAATACCATTATTTATTTAAAGGATTATAATTGAGATTTCAATTCACTTTTGAAATATTCCTTCCGTTATGACATGATTTTTTTTCTTAACGCTTGACCATTCATCTTATTAAAAAACAAATTCAACAAGCAAGTTCAAATTCAATTTCTACATCTCGCAACGAAATTTCTACATCTTCTTTAGAAGTTAAATTTAAACTTGTATGTTTAACGAGTGATATATCACATGTTAATACATATTCTTAAGTTTTTTTATAACCATTTGAGTTACATGCAAACAACGAGGGTGTTGTGCACTGCCACCTCCTGCTCCCCCCCCCCTCACGTTGCGTCAACTATCGGGGAAACTATTTTGATCCCCTCGTTATTTGCATGTTATTCAAATGGTTATGAAAAAATCAACAAAATAGAGAAGATGTATTAACATGTGATATATCACTTCATAGACATACAAGTTTAAATTCAACTTCTAATCTCGCAACGAAAAAATATCAAACTACATCTAGTTAACGTATATTCATAGTTAAATTTGTTTTTTTTATTACGAGATGTAAAAGTTGAATTTGAACCTGCATATTTGTAGAGTAACATGTATCTTCTCTATTTTTTTTTTTCAAAATCCACTCCCCGCCTATCATGCGGATCCACCGTTCCACCGCCCCTGCGTCCATCTCCGCAGCATGTGTGGCAGCACCAGGCATCTCCGATGACCTCGTCCTGCGCATCATAGAGCAGCTCGAGGACTCAGTTGTAGCCTCCTCACTGCTCCACTCCACCTCAACGCTCTCTCTCCTATCCACGCGCGGGGTTCCAGCTGCTGGTTGACTCGGGGTGGCGCCATGAGCCTGCGGCTGAGTGTGGCATGCACACTGGTGGAGAAACCATCTTTCGTCGGTCGGCCGATTTCCACAATAGTCCCGGATGCAATAAAAACCGGGGCTAAAGATGATCTTTAGTCCCGGTTCAAAAGAGTAACGGGCATATTTGATATTTAGTCCCGGTTTGTGTTACCAACCGGGACTAAAGATCATCTTTAGTCCCGGTTCGAATGCTGTTAGGTCATGTCAGGCCCACCAACCGGGACTAAAGTCGTAACTAATACCAACCGGGACTAAAGATCCCGGTGATCTTTAGCTCCGGTTGGTGCTACCAACCGGGACTAAAGTCCCACCCCTATATATATGTCTTCTTCCTCCTCCAGCTGCCCGAGCAAGCTTCAAAATTTCTTCAAAAAAGAGGGGAGGTCATGCCAAAATTTCTATTGAATTTATTTTGGTGATTACATACAAATCGGAGGTGTCTAAAAGGTTTGCAACTTCATCCTCCAATGTTTTTTTTTGTCATACTACATTTGCACCTATGTTTTGCACACTTTTTTTTGTCTCCAAAATTTAGTTGTAAGTTGATGAGAGAGAAAATGTGTGTGGGGAAGAAAGAATATATAGAAATTTAGTTCATTTGCTAAACAAGGTTTTATAAAATAGTTGAGAAGGAAAACTCTAGTGAAAGTTAATCTTAAATAATAGAAAACAAACTAAAATGAAAATTAAAAGAAGTAAAACACATTAAAATTAGTTTAAAACTTTACAAATAGTTTTTAAGAATTATTTGGTGTAATATTTTATGATTTTTGTATGAATAAAGATATCTTATAATTATTGTATGACTGTCATTATTGTAAGAATAATTATTTGTGTACGGTTTTTTTGACTCATGTAGATGGATCGGCAATGGATGTACGCTGACCGGCGGTCCAAAGAGTTTATTGACGGCGTGCACTATTTTTTAGAGTGGCCGAAGCTAACAGGCAAAGGGGTTTTATTTATTGTCCATGCAATAAGTGTAAGAATCAGAAGGAGTATTCTGCATCCAGGACTATTCATTTCCACTTGTTTGAGTCGGGGTTCATGCCAAGCTATAATTGTTGGACATCCCACGGAGAGCAAGGTGTTGAAATGGAAGAAGATGAAGTGGAAGACGACAATATTCCGGACTTTGCTCAGTATGTTGGATTTGAAGGAAATCAAACGGGCGAGGAGGAAATAGCTGCTGATGGTAACGACGTTGCGGATGATCTTGGTCAGATGTTGCAGGACGCCAGGGAGGACTGCGAAAGTGAAAAGGAGGCCCATAAATTGGACAAGATGTTGGAGGACCACAGAACTTCGTTGTACCCAGGTTGCGAGCAGGGGCACAAAAAGTTGGATACCACTCTGGAGTTGTTGCAATGGAAGGCAAAAAATGGGGTTAGTGACAAGGCATTTGGCGATTTATTGAAACTCGTCAAGAACATTCTTCCGGGGGGAAACAAATTGCCCGAGACAACATACGAGGCTAAGAAGATAGTCTGCCCGTTAGGACTGGAAGTTCATAAGATTCACGCATGTCCGAACGATTGTATCCTATATCGCGGTGAGGAGTATAAGAACCTAGAAGCATGCCCTGTTTGCAAAGCACTACGATACAAGATTAGACGGGACGATCCAGGAGAAGTTGACGGGCAGCTAACAAAGAAGAGAATTCCTGCTAAGGTGATGTGGTATTTCCCTATAATACCACGGCTAAGGCGTTTGTTCAGGAACAAGGGGAATGCTAGAATGTTGCGATGGCACGCTGAAGAGCGTCAACAGGACGGGATGCTGAGACACCCCGCCGATGGTTCGCAGTGGCGAAACATCGCAGAAAATTTAAAGAATTTGGAAAGGACGCACGAAACATACGGTTTGGTTTGAGTACGGATGGCATGAATCCTTTTGGAGAGATGAGCAGCGGCCATAGCACTTGGCCCGTTACGATATGTATCTACAACCTCCCCCCTGGCTATGCATGAAGAGGAAGTACATAATGATGCCGATTATTATTCAAGGCCCCAAGCAACCTGGTAACGACATCGACGTGTACCTAAGACCACTGGTCGAAGATCTTAAACAGTTGTGGAAGAAGGAAGGTGTCCCCGTGTGGGACGAGGACAAACAGGAGGAGTTTAACCTACGAGCGCTGCTGTTCGTAACCATCAACGATTGGCCTACACTTAGCAACCTATCCGGACAGTCCAACAAGGGGTACAAGGCTTGCACTCACTGTATGGATGAAACAGAAAGTACGTATCTTAAGCACTGTAGAAAGGTTGTATACATGGGTCATCGTCGATTCCTTGCAGCAAACCACCCGGTACGGAAGAAAGGCAAGCACTTCGAACATAAGGCCGACCACCGTACAAAGCCTAAACATCGCAGCGGGAAAACAGTGTTTGCTATGGTTAAAGATCTTAAAGTAGTGTTCGGAAAGGGGCCTGGAAGCCAGCATATAGAGAGCGAAGATGGTCACGCGGCGATGTGGAAAAAGAACTCTATATTTTGGGAGTTACCATATTGGGAATTCTTGGACGTACGCCACGCAATCGACGTGATGCACCTCACTAAGAACCTTTGCGTAAACCTTCTTGGCTTACTAGGTGTATACGGAAAGTCGAAAGATACACTGGAAGCACGTAATGATCTGAAGCATATGGAACAACGCGGCGACCTTCACCCGGAACCAAAGGAGAAAGGAAGCCATTACTTGAGTCCAGCCAGCTACACTCTTAGCAAGGCAGGGAAGGAAAGTATGTTTGAATGCTTGGAGAGCATAAAGGTACCGTCTGGATACTCCACGAATATCAAGCGAATAATAAGCATGAAGGAGAAGAAGTTCACAAACCTAAAGTCTCATGACTGTCACGTGTTGATGACACAACTGCTACCAGTTGTAATAAGGGGTATCTTTCTAGACAATGTCCGGGCAACAATAACAAAGCTATGTGCATTCATGAACGCAATTTCGCAGAAGGTCATCGATCCGGATAGATTAGAAGCCCTTCAGAATGAAGTGGTGTAATGTCTCGTCAGTTTTGAGTTGATATTTCCACCTTCATTTTTCAATATAATGACGCATCTGCTTTGTCACCTTGTGAAAGAGATCCGTATTCTCGGGCCTATGTACCTACACAACATGTTTCCTTTCGAGAGGTACATGGGCGTTCTGAAGAAGTATGTTCGTAACCGTGCTCGTCCAGAGGCAAGCATCGCCAAGGGTTATGGAACAGAGGAGGTCATCGAATTTTGCGTAGAATTTATCGAGGACCTTCGCCCAATCGGGGTACCTGAATCACGCCATGAAGGGAGACTCCGGGGAAAGGGAACTCTCGGAAGGAAAGCAATAATGACGGTAGACAACGATTTATTCCGTAAAGCCCATTTCACTGTTCTGCAACACTCTTCATTGGTAGCTCCTTACATCGAGGAGCACTTGGCTCTAGTTCGCGCCAGGAACATCGGTAAGTCCGATGCATGGATTACACGGCATCACATTGATACTTTCCCCGCGTGGCTACGACAACATCTCATGGGTAACGAGTCGATCAACCAACAACTTGCCTTCCTGGCGAGGGGACCGTCTGGGTCGATCGCGACATTCCAGGGATATGAGATCAATGGGTACACATTCTACACGAGAGCCCAAGACATGAAGAGCACGAACCAAAACAACGCTGTTCGTGTCAATGCCATGGGACACGATGGAACAACTGCCACGTATTACGGTGCCATCGAGGACATATGGGAACTTGACTATGGTCCTCTCAAGGTTCCTCTGTTCTGGTGCCAATGGGTTAGGTTGACTGGTGGAGGCGTAATGATTGATGACAGTGGGATGACAACTGTTGACCTTAACAAGGTTGGATACTCGGACGAACCTTTTGTCCTTGCCAATGATGTAACGCAAGTCTTTTTCGTGAAGGACATGTCTAGCAAAGGAAAGAAGGGCAGAGGGCCTGATGAGCCTAAGCGTCAAGTGGTTCTCCCAGGCAAAAGAAAAATCGTCGGAGTTGAGGACAAGACTGACGAGGATTACGATCAGTTGGATGGGCAACCCCCTTTCACGGTGACGATTGACCCTAGCATCCTCCTATCAAA